ATACGTTAGCATACATCCTTAGGTCTACATGTCATAGTAAGGTAGCATACATCCTTAAGTCTACATGTCACAGTAAGGTAGCATACATCCTTAAGTCTACATGTCACAGTACGGTAGCATACATCCTTAAGTGAACACCACAGCTACACCAATTGTTATTTGAATAAGAAACAAAAAAAAAATGCAATTATTTCTAAATTTATTAAAATTACCGGTAAAGAATTAAAAACTATGGGATAAAATCATTCACAATGAACTTAAACAATACTGCTGACTTCTATTGAATATGTTTAGTATTTTACCTGCAATAACCCCAGGACCTCAGTCTTTTGTGAAAAGGGTGAAATGGGGACTGGTATTTATCAAGCAGAAGTCACCCTATGTTACTGAAGTACTATATCTGATATGCAGTCTGTCTCACTGTAAGTGGTAATTTAGATGAACTTTGTAATATATCTCAAACAGGTCCAATAGGTGTAATCCCGAGCGTCAGAAATACTGGTTTGTTTGTTACGTTTATTCATGCATGTTGCGTAGGACCTGTTTCCTGCCAAAATTTGCTGGGTGTATTCTTGTGGTGTTCTTTCACATTTCTATTTTATTTTCTATTTCAAGGATGTACAATTCACTACAATATGTTAACATTTTTCTTTGTCAATATTCTTCACAATGATTATCATTTTTTTCTTTGATGCTTGAGAAGTGAAAATGAAAAATTAAAATGCTGATGATAAAAAGATTTTTAAATGCCTGAAATGAGAAATTCTGCAATTTCCATTCTGAAAATAATGTTAAAATAATTATTAAACCAATATGTACCATGTTTAATCACTGATAAGCCCGTTTTCAATATAATGTCGATCCCTTGTAGGTATTTAAGTGTCGTATTAAACCTTATACAGTCCACCTCGATATAATGCCATTCATTTCATTTTCCGACTCACTTACTGCCAACATATTTTAAGGTCCCACTTTCCAGTATATTTCCTGTTATATGTCATCTTGACATGTCACCAAACCCCTTTATTATGACATGTCACTAAACCCCTTAATTATGACATGTCACCAAACCCCTTTATTATGACATCTCACCAAACCCCTTAATTATTACATGTCACCAAACCCCTTTATCATGACATTTGTTTCCCCTGTACAAATATTGGCAGTATAATAAGGTTTTACTGTTCAAGCTTTCCTGCAAAATGGTCCAACACATATTTCCCCCTTTTCTGAGAAGTAAGCTTCATGGTCTATATGAAATAAATAAAAAACAGTTTGTTTAAATTTGTTTTTGTTAGCACTGTTTTTTTATCATTTTCTTTCAAATGTGAACAAATTTTAAATTGCTCTCATACTTTTCGAAAAGAAAAATCACGAGAGTATTGTGTGAAAAGGATGATATTTATTTTGGTGGTATCGGTGAATATTTGTATTTTGGGTTCTCTTGTCGCTTTCCTTTGGCTTGTGTAAGTAAATTTGGAATTCTGTTTAGTACATCACATGATAATTTCTTGGGGAAATGATTGGCAAACTACCATTGGTCCAGTTTGGCACAGTTTGCTGTATTTCTCTAATTACAGAGTACTATACTTAATGAAAGGTGGTATTATTTTTCTGGCTCGGGTTAAAAAAAATGATACCAAATAGTGTGTCCTTAGTCAAAGAGGGCATTCTGAATTCTACTTCAATTTAGTGATGTTGTCTGCTTTGCTTCAACCGTCGGATTCAAACAAAACATTCAGGAGTTTTTTACAGAGCCAAACAAAGTATTAAGAGAATCAGTTAAAAAAAATCATGGAAATCACATCAAAAGAGTTGATGCAAAAAAAACAAATGTGGGAAATTACAATTTCGCCAAGATTTAGGTTACTGAAATGAAAAGTCAATAACAAATAATTAGAAATATAATCGAAGGGTTCTGTGATAATGCCATCAGACAACTTTTTCATGGCTTACATGTAGTTATGTGATGTACTGAATCTATTATGTTCCTCTCCTGAGGGAACGGTTTCTCTTATAGTGTTGTTTTGGAAGGTATAGTACCCTTGCATCGGTGTTATGGGTTCGGTTTCGGCCCCTAATCTCCCAAGACAACGCTATAAGAGAACCCTTCCCTCAGGAAAGTTGCATCATAGATCAATGGTGTTAGCTTTGGGTAAATGATATTGATATTTCTACACTTCTAATATAGTAGAATCGCTTTTCTGATATTGAATATTCGAAGAAAAAAAATTGTATGTAGATGTTGTTTGTTCATGTTTCCTGTGTATTTTAAATACATGTAGTTCGCTTTTTAGGTCACCTGAGCTTTAGCTGAAGTGACCTATTGCTATCCGTTTTCGTCCGTCGTCGTCCGTCGTCCGTCGTCCGTTAACATTTTACATTTCAAACTTAAAGTCAAGTTCTGCTGGGCCGATTGAACTGAAAGTTGGTAGGAATGATCGCCTCATGGTCCTGACAAAGTGTTGTTATTTTTCGGGTCAATCAGAAATACAATTTGGCTGCCATGGCCGCTATTTTGCTACTAAGTTCTAATAGGCCGATCTCACTTAAAATTGGTCTAGGAATGATCAGCTCATGGTCCTGACAAAGTTAAGTTAACATTATACTATTTTTTACTCAAATTGGTACATATTTCAACAACAAAAATAAATATTGTAGGACTCAGGTGACCGTTAAGGCCCATGGGCCTCTTGTTTGGGAATTTTGTGAAAATTATTGTGGAGGTGTTTGTTTCTACCTAAACATTTATATTTTGCTCCTACTTATAAATGTAAACTTATCCAACTGGATATGAAAGACTTGCAAATTAATAAATAGAATCCTTTTTCTCATTGCTAAATATGTTGTCAAACTATTTGTTGTTAAAAAACATCACCATTTGTGGTGAAATATCATAAGTGGTTTTTTAAAAATCATAAAATTACCTGACGTGGAAAACATTGTTGAAGATAATTTACTGGAAATTTTTCATCCATTCAAACTTTTACTATTCTCCCATAAATTTTTTGCCAGGTGTAAATTTCACTGATCCATATTACTATGTATACTATGTTATCTACCTATGTTCAGTGTAATAATACATTTGACCTCATTAAAGAGGGCGAAAAAGGCCCGAAATTAAACTGTGGCAAAACTTTCATGGTATACACTAGTTAATTTGACTGCAGGTATTTGCAGGTATTTGATAGAAGTCACTTAAAAATCATGCTTATACTCGAGAGGTTTGACTTTCCATATAATTATTCATAAATTTCTATTTCGTTTTTTCAGGGCTGGATTTCGTCACCTATGCATTGATTTATATGAGATACAGTGAAACGCCATCATTAGCATGCAGTGTTATCTATATAATATAGATCACTGTCGTAATTGGTCAGTCATAGGAACTCTTGACAAAACACACTGTACCTCCAGCTGGGATAAACTCACACAAGACCTAGATCAGTCAGAATATTTTGGCAGACTCGGAGCTAGTGGCCTACGTATAAATGTTACAAGTGTCTGTGGAAAAGCGATTTATGGGGGAACAAATTGTGAACTCTTATGGGATGTATTTGTATTTATTCAGTATGCATGTGAAATTGGAAGGTTTTCCCTTTTCTAAACAAATTAGATACCTCTTTTAGGGGTAAGGATTTATTTATTGAATATGAGTGAGATATGAAGATTAATTTTACTGAAATGGCCCAGATTGCATGAAATGTTGTTAATCTTACCAATATTTGTATTGGTGGGCTAAAAGGGAGTTAACTGCTGAAAAATTCAGTTCGGTATGAATTTTATCTTATACACAATTTATAAACAGGAACAACTATAAATATATATACATGTATATAAAATGTATCTACAATTTCAATGAATTTTAAGTAACATTTAAAAAATCAGATGATTACAAAATTAACATTCAGTTTTCAAGGAACCAAATATGATAATTGCATACCTCATTAAAAATGCCAGTAAAGGTAGGAAAATTTGGGGAAAGTTCTTTGGTTTGGGCTCCTTGTAAAAAGGATTTTTTTGATGATTCCAAATTCAATGTTGTGGAAAAATATGAGAATAGTGTTTTAAGAATATACTAGGTGGGCTGTTTAGTTTTGAGAAAATATCTTCCAAAAAAAAGGTATAAAAAAAGGTATTGTTAATACAATAAAAAACAGGCATCATTTGACAATATTGCAGCAAATTGTTGATACAAATCAAAGTCATACTTCTTTCATTTAATAACAAGGTGCATTTATAAAAACAGGAAAAATGAAAAGATAAATAAACAAATGTTTTGCATTTGCTAATGACAACTTTTCCAGTGTGATTCTATTTTATGCGACGCACGTAAGAAAGATCTCAGATTAAAGGGACGTACCCCAGAGAGTTTTGATGGCTACTGTCCTCTTGGTCACTCTTGTGGTGAATTGGCTACTTTACTCAAAGGATGAAATAACGTCTAGCTTGATATGTTCATTGACTTTTTATCATCAATAATATTGATTTGTTTACCCACAATGGAAGTGCATGGGGGCTGGAAATGGTTTTTCTTGCATTTATTAGAAGGGTTGAATTTTTGTTATTTTATATTAAAATATCTTTTTGGTTATCTTAAATTATGATTATGCTTGCTGATTTTTTTTTATTTCAGTGGTTAAGTTTTGGCTACTTATAACTTGTACATACGATAGTTTGAAAGATGGTGTTGCCATACTTTGGCTTTAGTTGATTGCATCGAAGTATTATTGTATAAGTATTGATTTAATATGATTTAATTGTTCTACTTTATGAAACTTTCTATGACAGCTTGGGGGCATATCTGATTTGTTTAATCCAGAGTATTTCATCCTCATTTAGAGTTATCTGCCCTTGATACATCATGGGTCTTCTTCAGATATTTATTTAGTAACTACAAGCATTTTAAATGTTACTCATTACCTGTACGACCGCTTTAAATCTATATCTCTCCAAAGTATTTCCCCTAAAGCAGATTGAAAATCATCAGTTACATATCAACATATGTGAAAACCTCATTTATCTATGTAACATAAAAGATGACCTTTTCAAAAGGACATAAAATGTCAAATTTTCAATTCCTAAACCTTATATTTGATACTCAGAATTTCCTCAAATTATATTTAGCTTCCCAATAATTTTTATGTATAGCTTGATCGTTACGAATAGCCTAATTAGCGAAGCCTGTGATTAAATATCTGCTCCAAAGTATTTAATTCTATCCTAACTGTTTATAAATGTGCTATTATTTATGAGTATTATGTTTGTTTTGTTTACTTTATGACAATATTTGTTGATACATTAGTGTTCTTTAGTCGTTACAGTTGTTTCATGAACAACACACAGCTGATAATGGACTCATTAGTTTCTTTCTTTTTATATTTTTCTACTTTGTTGCATGTTTGTTCATTTCTGTTTTATATGTAGATATGTGGGAATTCACCCAAAAGTTCATTTTTAACTCATTCACCCCTGAACACACATATGAACTCTCCCATTTCAAAGTTCGGAATAGTTCATTATGAAATTTCAGGGGTGAATGAGTTAAGATGATCATGACATTTTGTTCATATCTATTAAAGCAACATATAAAGATAGTACAGGGAACATAAGATACAACCTCTATTGTCTGCAATTTCCGAAATCCCTTTGGCCTTTTATGGATGGATTTCGTATAGAATTTAGAAATCCAGTGCAAAAAGTAACAAAAAATCATGGTAAAGATGACAATTTATTGCGATTTTAACCTGTTTTAATGCACTGGGTGTATGCTGTCCAGAACAGATGTTTACAATTCAAAACAGCTGTAAGGTACAAAAAGGTTGTGCTGTTGTCTGGCCGTTCTCATGTTATATATATGACGTCATAAGAACAGTTTTCAAATAAATGGCGTCGTTCACAAGTACAAAGCTTAACTATTGATTCACAATGTTTTAACCCTTTCATCACTATGCTACTTCAGTAGACTCTACCATGCATTGACCTGGATGTGTCCATTATGGTCTATACAGTGGTGAAAGGGTTAAGCAGGTCCTGTGTTGCGTATAATTCCACCTTGTGATTTATGCCTGCCAGATACAATGCATTTGGTATTTCAGGTCTGTTTCAATTTGTAGACGTTTGGTAGTGATGGCAGGCTTGACAGCCCTCTTAGTATGTAGAAACATGTAAAATTATAAGATATAAAAGTAACTCCAAGAATTTAGTTTTACTGTGCACTTACAGGAAAAGGACTTGCATAGCAATATGCTTATTTATGAAATGTAGGGGCCAGATATCATCAATAGCAAGGGGAGGACACTCGGTAAACCTCCTGGGACCATATTTATAAAACCATTCTCATGTTCAAGCATGGGTTCTGTGCTCAAGCCAACTTTCTTGTAACTCGCTTAAACCACTTAAAGATTTGCTCATTAATGTAGAACTAGAACAATAAATTAGGCTTGAGCACAAAATCCATGCTTGGGAATGTGAATGGTTTCATGAATACAGGCCCTGGCTGTTCCTTTAGAATTTTTGTTCTGTTTCCTTATGAAGATCGGTGATATACTTATACAGTGGGTGTCCTAATGTATATCCCTGTTATATATATATAGGGGCCTAGTAGTTACAGAATAGAGGTGACAGAATATGGTGTTCAGATATATCCGTACTTTTACATATATTGAACACAGACAGTGTTCATGATGAGTCATTAAGTCTTACTGTCCTTTAGAAGTGCATGTTTTTAATCATTCTGTTTGTTTTTCAATTTTGATTGGGTATATATATACCTTTCAGGTATTTTAATTTTAAGATTCATTTAAATTGATAAAAATGAATGAAAATCATTACGTGGACATATCTTTGAGATGTGGGTGATGTATGTAATAATAATGGGGAATATTAATGGGATTTTTAAAGCATGAATATTATACAGGGGAGATAATTTAAGGGGAGATAATTTGTTTCTTTGCCAATTTAAATAAAGTCATTTATTAAAGTGATTACATGAATCGTGATGATGGGACCAACATATTCTTATTGATAATATATCAAAAATTCAAAACAGAATAATTTGGAAACTGATTTATTTGTAAAATGTTAGAAATAGAATGTGTTTGCATTTAAATATATTTTATACAGCAAAGCCGAACTTATTCATCTTTTTCCCCAGTAAGTGTAAGTAAGTTATTTGCGACAAGTTTGTATAGAAAAAGGCCGATATTCCCCTAAAATATATGAATAGGTAATCAAATGAGACAACTAGATTGATGATGTCTTGATTAACAAGAGACTTGACTGCAAGAGGCTTGTGCAGACTAATATTAAAGATAGTGGTATGTTTGTAAACATGTATGCTAGTTCTCGATCCAAGCTTCTTTCCTTGCAGCTTTTAGGTAATTTCAACATAATAGCTTTGAAATTCTGCTTAACTTTAACTTCAATTTCCAGAATGATTTGTTGTAATTAATTTGAAAACAATGCCGTCCTTATAAAAACCTAGCTACACACACCCGTCTTGTCAAACATAAACAGTGTCTGCATTTAAAAAAAATCTGTGAACTTTATGTATAATCAATTTTACCTAAACTTAAGGTTGTGTTATGCTGCTTGATAGTTAAATGAAATACAACAGCTGTTTTAAAATAAATTTGCCTTAAAAAGCAGCTATAGACTGTTTTAACTGTTTCAATTAATGCGTGAAATCGACATCGATTTTGTGGACAACTTGTACACATTTTACACCTTTGTGCGCATACGCTTCACTGGTCATTTGTCTGATGAAGGTGACACTGTACATATCGTACTAGTCATTGAAATGTCACATAGACAATTTTATTGGTTGTGTAAAAAGAACTTCTCATAATACATACTTACCAACCTGAAGAAAATGTTTAGAAATGTTCCAATTAATCATTAAGAATGCTGTAATAATTTCCTAAACATTTTTAAGCAAATAACTGTAAAGTTATCAAACCTGATTTAAATGCATTTGAAATAAAATGAAGTATCGGATTAAAAAAGAATGTCTAAAATTGTATGTTCATGTTGAAATCGAACCCATCATCTGTTGTTATGATTTTAAACAAATGTGTGCCACTTGCCTTCCAAAGCCATTGTTTTTACCTCAGTTAGGTTCTAAGCAGGTTTCAAAATATAATTTTAAGTTTTTTTAATGAATAAAACTACTGTTTAGATTCTTGACCTTTGCTTAGTGGTGGGTAAATGGAAAATGTGATAACATATGTAACACTTGCCTTAAAAAATTATAATTGTCGGTTGCAGATTACAAAATATCTTAAAGATATTGTTTGCATTAGAAACCTGGGATCCATAAATAGCCATTTTACGAGTTTATTATCCTCAAGAGCTTCCTTTTCATAAAATGATAAAAATAATTTAAAAAATAATTTAGAATAGAATTTAAAGTGGCATTGCTAATTCAATATGTATAAGGAAAAAATTTGTTAAAAAATTTAGAAGATGTCCTGTTTCATTGTCGCAAGCCACAGGTTTGAATCCACTCCCGCTCCTTCAAATGGAAGGGGAGGGAATTAAAACCAATGGCCTGGGTTGAGGATTAAGTTTAAGATAATGAACTTTAAGGGCAATGAATTCTGCTGCATTTAGTTTTAGACAAATCATCATTTACAAAAGGGAAATAAACATTCCATGAAAGCCATTGAGACCACCGTGCAGCTTACCAATTTAATCTCACGAATAGAATTTATATGCTTGAGAGTGCGCAAGACAATACTACATTTGCTTTGTAAATGATTGCTATCAGTTGAATGTTTGCTATCTGTTGGGTGAATGTGTTGAGCGGAGCTGTGTGTTCTTAAACAGACCATAAAGATACCTGTCAACATTATCGTGGGTTTGTGCAATTTGGTGCGTGACTTCTTAAAAAAAGAGAATTATGTATCACTCCGTAAAGGAACAATTGATCACTAGTTTGATGAAATCGGAAATTTAGTTTTATCACTGAATTGGAATGTTGACTTTATTACGTGTAATGTACCATGACGTATGTTATGAAAATAATATTGATGTAATACTATTAAAAGAAACATATATTTCACTCTTTGTCATGGTTTGGTTTGCTTGTGTTTACGTCCTATTAACAGCTATGGTCATTCAAGGACATGCCTGGTTTTGGTGGTTGAGGAAAGACGGAGTTCCCGGAAAAAAACACCAACCTATAGCCAGTACCTAGCCTGTCCCACGTAGGTCTCAAACCCGCGACCCAGTGGTGGAGGGCTAGTTAAAGCAAAATGTTGGACGCCTTAACCACTTGGCCATTGTGGCCCCCTTTGTCATAGACTTGGGTTTTTAGGTCACCTGAGACAAAGTCTCAAGTGACCTATTGCGATCGCCTTTTGTCCATTGTCGTCTGTCGTCCGTCCATAAACAATTTACATTTTCGACTTCTTCTCCAAAACCCCTTAACCAATTTCAATGAAATTTTGCAGGGACCTTCCATGGACAAAGGTCAACAAAAATATTTGCCGGTTTAGTCCTAAGCCCCCCAGGGGCCTGAGGGGCCGGGCCAAAAATGGTCAAATTGACCAAAATTTCGAAAATCTTCTTCTCCAAAACCCCTGAACCAATTTCAATGAAATTTTGCAAGGACCTTCCATGGACAAAGGTCAACAAAAATATTTGCCGGTTTAGTCCTAAGCCCCCCAGGGGCCTGAGGGGGCGGGCCAAAAATGGTCAAATTGACCAAAATTTCGAAAATCTTCTTCTCCAAAACCCTTGAACCAATTTCAATGAAATTTTGCAAGGACCTTCCATGGACAAAGTTCAACAAAAACAGTGGCCAGTTTAGTCCCAAGCCCCCAGGGGCCTGAGGGGCGGGGGCCAAAAAGGGTTGAATTGACTGAAATTTCAAAAATCTTCGTCTGAAGACCAAGATATGGTAGAATCAAATACTCTTCATAGATGGAAGGTTCTTAAGGTGCTTTATCAAAATTGTGAATTTCTTGACACTGGGGTCTCACGTTTCCCCCTGGGGAGGGGGAGAACTTTACTATAGTTTATATAGGGAAATCACATTTCGGACCAACATTTGTTTAATTTCTATAGGAAATAATTCAATTTAGGTTAGCATTATCAGTATTAGGAAGCAGTTTGATAGTGTGCACCTATGAGCCCTGACTGACCCCCAGGGGCTGATGGGTGGGGCCAAAAAGGGTTGAATTGACTGAAATTTCAAAAATCTTCTCAAGACCCAGATATGGTAGAATCAAATACTCTTCATAGATGGAAGGGTCTTAAGGTGCTTTACCAAAATTGTGAATTTCATGACCCTGGGGTCCCATGTTTACCCCTGGGGAGGGGGTAAACCACAATAGTTTATATAGGGAAATCACATTTCGGACCAACATTTGTTTAATTTCCATTGGAAGTAATTCAATTTAGGTTAGCATTATCAGTATTAGG